GGACAGAGCTTTTTTATACAGTGTGAAGAAGAAAAGACTCCAACAACACGAAATGTGAGCTCCTTGGATCCATAGCCTTGGATGTGATTTCTGCTGACAATGTGCTGACAGTAGTTAAAAGACACAGATATTTCCCCCCAGAAAGATTCTGATGCTACTACAAACAACAACAACAGTTATGTTTATCTCTTTTATAACATTCACGTTAAATATCTGCACTCAGTCATAGCAATGAACAACACAGTACTAAAATATTAAAACACCATTCTAATTACAGCTTGCTATAAACTGGACTTGCACCGATATATATATATACTGTATTGGTGTCATGTGGGATATTCTCAGATTCACACCTGGTCGAGTGGTTGGTTGGGAATCCTAGGTTTACCAAAATTAAGGACTGTGACTCCAAAGGTAAGTGCCAATACGTTGACGTTTATTAAGTGAATTACAAACAGAAAAAAAGAAAACTGGAAGAAAACGAAAAGAAAACAAGTTCTCTCATAGAACAAGTATGTAACAATGTTCAGGACCTCAAACACCCATTTTCTTGGTCCACACCCTCTGCCCTGGCTCAACCTCAGCACAGGAACTTTTTTGTCTCAAGGTCGTGAGACCGAAGAGACTTCCTTCCACACTCTTGTTTTAAAAATTAACCTCCCTGCTAGGCTGACCTCCCCATGTATTTATAATTCTAACCCTGCCCAAGGTTAAACCAATTAACACAAAGGGTAGATACTCAGTACACATAAAACAATATTAAGATAATTACTTCCCACCATGTTTAAAACTGACATGCCATCAGATCTGTGAACATTCTACAGGTAAGTATACTTGTACATGGCCAACACTGACAATGTTCTTCTTCCTTTTAAGGTTTGCTGACAAGGGGATCACCCTCCTCTCTCTATATGGTTGTGGGCTCTTGCAACCTAGATAAAAGAGGATGATAATCGTGCCAGCAGTTCCCCTAGGAGTCTCAACAGACCACATTAAGAGGTAAGTACATTTATGTGAACATACATTGCACATGTTTGTCATGCTGGTGAAGACCTGGAGCCTCTAGCTTCATCACAATAGGAATTAGTGCCGATACTGCCACTTGCAGTATCAGTAATAGCCATGAAAACAGTGATACTTATGACTATACCACGAAGCAATTTCTGATGCCAGTTTTTTGTGGAAAGACAGTAGTAGTGTGTGATAAAGCCTACAGGTTGAAATTCTTCCTAAGCTATTAGTTTTACCACTGTGTTTCAGATACACCAGATTACACAACATACAAATGGTGTAAAACACGCTAACCTTAGCAATGTACCTCAATGGCTGAGCTTCTTTCAGTAATCCCTTATCTCTCGCTCTGTAGTGACTTACAGTGTGAGTTAATGTTAATCTGGGTTGTTATCGAGGGAGCGAAAGTTAGAGAGAAATATGGAAGGAACTGCCGCTCTCTTGGGGTAATGAAAGCCATTAATCTTGGTTTAGCCTTTAGCATACCAGCCTACTAGCCGGACCTGTGCGTCTACTAGCCCCGCCTGTGGTGGTCATGCAGCAGCAGGGTCTCGTGGCCTTTTGCTTCAACAAAGCAAAGAAATCTGTGGCTCAATCACTACTATTGACAGTGTCCGAAACTTACAAAACATTGGCAGAGTCTGACGCTCAGAGATGTAAGTTCGAGACTGGATGCATGTATGAGTCGAATGACTTGAGAAATTCAGATGTGAAACAAACAACCAGGATATAGCAGAGTCATCCTAAATGTAGTTTACAGCACTATCGCAGCTAGGATATTTAGCCACATGACAGAATGCTAAGGTATGCTACAACTGACTTTTTTGCTTCTGTTGAGTGTAGCCTTAAGCTATAGCCTACAAATGTGTTTGTTAGCTAATGGTAAGCATATGTAGTAAGTCCCATGACAAAAAGCTTAAAAGCTGCAAGGTGCTGTGTTTATGTTGATTGTTGTTTAAACTATGCATATGAACATCTAGCCCTGGTCAGTCCATATATATTTATTACCTTGGGCTAATAATATATGGTAAATGTAAGTAAGAAAATTTCATTCTGCTATTGTGACATCTGTTACATTAGGATGAATTTTTCATTCAATAAAGCCGAAAGCCATGTCTATTTAAAATGCAATATTCTGTGTTTGATGTTTTCATGGTTGTGTCTGTGGTTTTAGGTTCATCACACAATGATTAATCGCAGTCTAATAATGGTCAGTTATCAGTTAAAAGAATTTGCCAAAATTTGCATTCCTTTTCTCTGCATATACAACATTCCTGATATCTCTAATACAGTAATGATGTCCAGAAGCCATCTCGCCAAAGAGTCTGCACGTAAGTGTAGTGGAGAAAGAGAATGATTCTGTCCATTGCTGGCCACATGATCGATGGGTTCAATGTTACCCTGACCTTTCAGAGTACATATAAAAAGAAGCAGACACTGTAAAAAGGTCACTTTATGACCTCTGAGAGGTTTACTGCCACAGTGAAAATAAATAGTTATTGCATCATTTAGTGAATAATATACCAAGTATTTCCTGACAGGCAAGTCACTTCAGTCATGTGTAACTGTCTAATTAGATGTAGCTAGGGAATATGAAAAATACATGTTTTTCATAGCAAGACAGATTTGTTTTATCAAAGGACTTTTTGGACTTGGTGCACTTGAAGAGAACAGTGAAGACACGTATTGGAGATGTGTTGACACTTCAAAACCCACAGGATCTGTTCATCAGAGGCAGTATTCGTCTGATGCGATACCCTCGTTGTGCCACCTCCAATATGTTCCCCTGGTTCTATGTTGAACTTGTTCCCACAAGACAATTCCAATATGGCACGGCGTCACACCCCGCTGCCCTAGATTAGTCCTGATAATGACAGTGGAGGCGCATGCCGCCCCGTACCATGAGAGAGGCCATCTGGACCTCTGCGTGAGATGGGACACCTCTCTGTACCTTGGTGTGTGTTTGAGTAAGAACACACACAAATCCACAGACACATGCTTGTATGCACACTCATATGAGGTACTTATCATCAAATTCATAAACAATAACTGTTTAGCCACAGCAGCATAAGCTTTCTTGAGCATCACATGTGACTGTATATACATCTCCATCATTTAGTCTTGAATTAACACGAGCAGCTGATCACTGAGACTTCATCAATTTACTTTTAATAAGGTAACATTAGCCATCTTCAATCAGTAACCACAACAAGCAGTAGCCTTTGTCTCAGAAAATGCCGTCAGAAATGGCATTGTTTCAACATAGTTAAACTCTTCAGAATGAGATGAAGTAGGGCTTTACACAAACAAAAGAGATGCTTGAGAGAGATCTCTTGCAGCTAAGTGATAATGCTGCAGTGTCTGCTAGCACCCAAATATACCATTAAAAACAGGCAAACATACACTGCTGGTGTCTCTGGAACAGCAATACAAGAATTATATTTTCACTCACTGTGTCTTAGCACTGAGAATACTTAAAATCTCACCTGCAATTGCATTAAAACAAGCCCCTGCGCTCTACTGAGACACACAAACAAACTCATATTCTCATACACTCTGTCGAGCTTACAGAGTGACAGAACACATTACTAAAACAGCTGTTTGCCAATGGCAAGCTAAAAAGCACAGCTGCCATGTAAACATAGCTTATATTTGAATTATTAATACAGTAACTTAAGCATTATTTTTATAATCTACTCTTTTCCATTTTCTGCAAGCTACTAGGAATGCAACGGTACAGTGGGCCCACGGTTCTGTATGTATCATGGTCTTTGGGCCACCGTGATCAGCTTTGTATTAAAGAAGAAAAAAAACGCAACCTTTAAACAATGAACTCTTTATTTTGCCTACAGACAACCTGTTGGTGCTTTGATTTCTCTATACTAAAAAATAATTAAAGAGAGCTAGATAGAGTGTCTGTGTCGATTCATTTTCAATGTCTTTCTGTGATGTTTCATAGAGTTTAGGAATTACTTTGCTGTTTAATGTGCGCAGGAGAAGACATTGTAAAGGCCACCGCACTGTGGACACATCGTGCCATGTTGTGTCATGTCACGTAGCGTTGTGTCACATAGCAGAACACTGTTATAGAATGCTGGCAGGGAGAGATGATTATAGCCAGGTTTAAGTTAATTTTTACACTCTACTTGGGTAAAATGAATGAAATAAAACATTTAGCATTATTTGTCATGCTTGGCATCTGTTTATTACCTCTTCACAAACTCGTTGTTTTCAAGCTGAAAGATAGAAACTGAAAAAGGACACTAGCTGAGCTAACTTACTATTAGCATTTCTCTGTTTACCTGAAAGACTGGCTGACGGAGTCGGCGAGCACCATAAAACAAAGGTTTAGAATTTTTGGAAGCCACGCAACATAACGCAGCGCCTTCACTGTTTAGTGGCCTTAACTTGTCTATGTCTAGCTAGTGCTCGCCTTTGTCACGTTGGAGCTGAAGGTTATTTATTTGTTGTTAGCTCCTCCCTCTCTTCTCCAGCTTATATTTACATATAGAGCACTGATAGGCTCCAGGGAAATTGTGATATGCTCCAGTGATGTTCTGTGTAGGTAAAATATGTGTGTAGACTGCAGTATAATAAGCACGTTTTGGAAATTATAGCAAAATAACAGGTTCACATTGAACAACAGAGGACATACCAAACAGTTTGGCAATAGACTGTGTACCGTTACATCCCTACATGCTGCACACTGTTTTGCATTCCTGTCACCGACCTCGAAAACCTAGGAAACATATCAAACCTCATGCTTTTACATTGTACACCAGCCTGTCTACGGCACCTAAAGATACACAATACTAGCATTCCCCTCCAGAAGACATTTTCTTCATCTTAATAATTCATTGTTTCAATTCCAGATATTTCAACACCCAAGAACGCTTCAGCTTGCATTCACTAGATCATCACTATTTAAGATTTAATTCTTCAGTTTTTTGTATTTTTTTATAATCATGATGATGTAGCTGTGGTCCTACCTGAGCCTCGCTTGGACACCACCTTTAAGCTCCTAATTACTGTAGCATAGAGGAGAAACTGGAGAGGGATGGGTGCTTTCATTTTTCCCCCGTCTCAATGTCCTACAAAGAAACCAGCAAGGGAAGAAAGGGTTAAATAAGCATGACTTATTTTAAGTCTTAAAATGAGAGCTGGAGAAACAGTTTTGATTATTTCACTGAAACAAGTGCAATGTCAAAGAAAATGTAAAATTGATGTTCTACAAACTAAAGACTGGACAAATCATTTGATAAATCCTATATTAAACCAATCTACAACCCCATTTCCAAAAAAGTTGGGATGCTGCGCAAAATGTAAATAAAAACAAAATGCAGTGATGTGCAAACAACTGTAACCCTATATTTAACTGAAACAGTGGAAAGATAACATATCAAATGTTGAAACTGAGAAATGTTATTGCTTTTTGAAAAATATTTGCCCATTTTGATTTTGATGCCAGCAACACATTTCAAAAAAGTTGGGACGGGGCAACAAAAGGCTGGTAAAGTTGTGTAATGCTAAAATAATCACCTAATGGTAAACTGGCAACAGGTCAGTAACATGATTGGGTATTAAAAGATCATCCCAGAGAGGCTGAGTCTTTCAGAAGCAAAGATGGGGAGGGATTCACCACTCTGCCAAAGACTGAACATTCAAATAGTACAACAATTCAAGAATAACATTTCTTAATGTAAAATAGCAAAGAACTTGGGGATTCCATCATCTGTGGTACATAAAATCATCAATAGATTCAGAGAATCTGGAGAAATCTCTGTATGCAAGGGACAAGTCTGAAAACCAATACTGGCTTGCTGTGATCTTCAGGCCCTCAGACGGCACTACATTAAAAACAGACATGATTCTGCAGCGTAAATCACTGCATGGGCTAAGAAACACTTCCGAAAACTACTGTCTGAGAACATAGTTTATCGCTGCATCCACAAATTGTTGTATTTAAGTCATCAGAATATCCCATTGATCCTCCTTTTACACACTGTAAAAATATTAAACTACCCTAAATTTGATTTACTACTTTATGGTTCACATTACATTAAAAAAGATACCTTTGCTATTCATGACCACAGAGAAAACTGTGTAAATGACAACAGCCATTCCACAAGCAGCAAGATAAGTCACAATATGTAATACCCCATGCACCTGCATTTGCCACACAAAAATTTTCAAATTCTTCTGCACTGCACATTTTTACAGGAATATCCATTACCTGCCAAGAGAATCTCTAAAAAAACAAAGGCACAGATTCTTTGTTCACCATCATTCCTTCAATACTGCCAACATGCACAACCTTTCCTCCATTTTGCTTAGCATTTCACCATTTGTATAGGTTCCTGTTAAAGCTACAGGCCAATGAAACGCATTTTTTTCAAGGCATTCATATTGCCATACACATGCTTGGATCAGATGAAAATGTGATTGGTGTGATGCCATCTTTAACTAGGCCATTATTCCTTCAGAGTTTTTTTTTAAACTAGAGTGACATCTACAAACCACACATTTAACAGTGGTCAACTTACACATAATTCTGCTCTAGGACATACACTGACTGAATGCTTAAATTACATACTGTGCAAATGGTAGGCTATAGCACACATTCGGTGTCAAAAACATGTTTGTCGTAGTTGACAAATAGCAGATCTACATAACACCCAATTAGCCTTTGAGCTGTCTAATGCTCGGTAGAGAGGAGGGAAATGACTGTGCATTACAGCTTTGCTCCAGAGTCACACTGGCTTTTGCTTAGATATTTGTACATTATATCTCCATTGCAGATATAGTATCAGATAACAACAAATCAAAAACTTTGTCAAGATGTGGAAGGAATAAGCTTGCATTTAATAAACAACCACTAACACAAAAAATCAAATATCATGAAGATCAGCCAGAGAGAAAGAGAGCGTGAGAGAGAAAGGGAGGGAGGGAGGGAGGGAGGGAGAGGGAGAGAGAGAGAGAGAGAGAGAGAGAGAGAGAGAGAAAGAGGGGAATTTAATTGAAAGAGCACAAAGACATGCAAACAGCCATTTTAAAAGAACCTGTCACCTTAATTGACACATCCGCCACCATGTTACAAAACTTTGACTTGACATTTCAGCCTGACAAAGACTTTACTCATAGAAAGTGCAAAGAGAGTGGGGAGGGGGTGGGGGGTCTTGACAGGGGAAAACGAGGATGCCTGGTGGGTGAAGGTGGGGGAGACCCCTTCAGTCACAGTTAGCCTCAGGGGACAGCAATGGTGCCATTCCAGAACTGGCCAGCATCCAAGAATGACAGCACAGGCGCAGTCCCTCACTGAGTGAGCCATTGTGCGGGGCCTGCTTCACCAATTCCACCCCTCTCGCCCACTCACTCACCCTCAGCACTCACAGCAATCTGAATCGTCTCCTAATTAGCTGCCCCTCTGGCAGGGTGCAAACATTCGAACAAAAGCGCATCAGAAAAGAGGGCTAAGGCTCCCTTGTTTCCCCTTGCCTTCTCTCTTGGGTGATTAGAGGCATACAGGGTGACATACGAACACTCTAATCACCAAGCCACACTATTTCCAGCTTTACAAGGCAAAACACTCTGTCATTTATAAGAAAGGGGTTTAAAAAAAATCCCCTGCAGCACATCTGCAGAGAAGCAAGTTTTCACAGATTCAACCACTAACGCTACTATCTCTAACATGAAGAAAGGCAGATAGTCAGGACAGGAATCATGTGTTGGAGATCGCTGATGTGGAATGCATAAACAAGGATTAAAGGCTTTGTGATATGATAGAATTCAAAATGTGACAAAATGACATTTCCCGAACTGCAAGCCAGCGCTCGCACTGGAGTTCCATTTGAATATGCAAGACACTGTGCTGTTGTTTCCAAGGAAACCGATCTTGCTGTTAATTGTAGAGTTACAGTGCTGGCGGTCAAGATCGAAAGAGAGAATGCGAGAGAGCAAGAGAGAGATAGTACAGTAAAGGACAGCCCTTCCAAGTACTGTAAGTCGTTTCTCCAAGAGTACCACTTGTTATAGGCTCCTGGAGAACACATTGGGAACAGTTTCAATCACCTTTTTTTTCTTTTGGTATGGTGGATAAGGGGTTTTCTTAAGGGCACTTCTGACTGCTATAGGAATGGATGTCAACAGAACACTATGCTGGCCAGTCAAGGGCTGCAGCTACATCACTTACACAGAACTGAGCAATTAGCAATCTCCTCCAACTGCCCTGAACAACATCATTAAAAAGATGCAGTGACTGATTTCACATGGGGGACTATGTTATCCTTCACTCTCCCAGGTTAGTAGCTATTGCGTGACAAGAAAGAAAGAAAGGCCCAATCCCATATCTTATTCTTACCCCTATTCCTTGTTTTCGAGTGTCACCTTGCCCCTTGGAACTGAGTTACAAGGGGTAGTGGTTGAAATCTTCCCCTACAAAATGAGACAACCCCAAAATAAAAAAAAAAAGAACACTGCTTCATTAACAGGCTACTAGCAGTGCTCTGTAGGCTACACTGCCACTCTGCAGGGATAGCAGAGGAGCGGTAAAGTTCAGCATTCTCGCTGCTGGCCTTTAGTTCAATTTAGGGAATCATATGCTTTCAAAGAGGGGGGATGCGATAACTATTTATTATTGCCCACCCCTATTTCTTTGGTGATATGAAGCTGAAGTCAGCTATTTGCTAGCTTCCCATTCCACCTTAAATGGAGCAGCAGTTACCATCTGGCGCTTCAAGCGTACTGCTGGACTATTTAAGGTGGAACAAGAAATTTAGCTAGCTAGCTACAGAGAAATCAGCATATTATTATTTATATGCTTGTTCTGAGGAAAAGGACCATAATACATTGAAATGACATTAAACTAAGACAATACAATGGTTATCGTAATTTTTAACTGTGTAAATACTTACATTTGTGGGTTTCTGTGAAGGCTCGCACAGCCATCTTGACGTTTTTTCTTTTTTCTCATAACACTCCATTTAGAGTGTGCCTCTAAAAAAACCTCAGCTTGGAGGACCATGTAGCTCTAACACTTCTCCTTACCCTTCCATCTCAACAAAAATCGAGACACCCTACCCCTAGGCATGAACACACAAAACGGAGGGCTAAGGGCTAAGTGGTAAGAGCAAGGGCTGAAATGGGATTTGGCCCTAGTGTTATCTAGGGTTGCGCGATGATGTCAGAATTATATTGGTATTGACAGATATTTGCTTAAAGTTTGCCATATCCTACAATTTTCTTGGATCCTCTGAGGTCCACTTATAATGTTAACATGTTTTTTTATAACTAAAACCAGTCATAATTCATTTGACATGACTGTGTTCAACCTCTCCTTATTCCTTGTATTGACATAGTTTTTGTTACTATGTCTCTAAGGCTCATCTATGTAAATGAGCTATGTTCTGGTTGTTCTATGCTGTGCCTCATTCAAAAAACATGCTTCAGTGTGAACGCGTGGGGCTAAACTGATGTAGGCTGAATAGGTGGATATATGTAAATGTGTTGGTTTTCATGACATCACAGAAACAATGACTTCAAACGAGGTATTTTTGCAGCTTAGTTTCCATATGTGGACTGTATGCACTGGGAACTAAATGGTATATTTTGGTACTTTACTAATCTATATCATATCAAACTTTAATTTCCAAAAAACTGGGGCAAATTAAGTTTTTGATGAAATGGGCCCTTTAAAACAAAAATGTTGCCATGGGACAGATGCTTAGATTAGACCAGTACTTCAAATTGATATTTAAAGTATGCCCTGTATTCCAGAAGAGCAGAATGTTTAAGTGATGCTGGGCTACAGTGCTAAAATGGCACCATTTTATATTTTTATATTTATATTTTCAGAGCATTTAATAGCAATATGATGATATTTATCTATATCATAATTAAATTAGTAGTAAACACTGACCAATTGCATGTTACATTGCAAAGAGAGCATTATTAGTACAGTGGCCGACAAGACCCTATTCACAGTACAATTAAAAACGCTGCAAACTCAAACACACTGCAAACACAGAAAACACTTTTATCAAAATGACTACACCTGAACTATGTTTCACAAACGCACTGAAGTGCCATAAAAAAA